ATTTTATGAGGATGATGTTTCTCCTCTAAAAACGTATTATCTAGAGAATGGCAGATGTCCAGATCGTATCGATCAGCTGTTGATCTTCTATCGCCTGATGCGGTCTTCTTTTTAGGTAAGTTTTTTTCCATCACTGAAGGATTTTCTCCACACTCTGACTTCAGGTGACTTGATGGATGAAGGTCAGTGGGGAAATCATTATACATTCCATAAATACGCCGATCGATTTGATTCTTTATTTGGATTTTCTGAAGATAAACCGGAAGTCCATGTACTGGCTGGGAATCACGATTTAGGTTTCCATTACGCGTAAGTGATTATGATTGGAACTCTAACACAAATTTCTAGTAAATTTTCCTTTAGTGTAACGCCATTTCGGGTAGATTGGTTTAGTAAACGATTCAATAGCAGTACTGTCGATGTGGTGTTTATTCGAGGTAATTAACAAAGAAGTTTTAAATTTGAGATCATAGATGAAATAGAAGTGGTCTAGGACAACCTTTCATACTTTTAACATCGATGGCTATGCATGGTGACGGTTGTAAATTTTGTCACGAAGCGGAGGTTGCTATCGAAGCTGTTGGTGACGAACTGGCTTGCGCGAAGAGGGGGAGTTGCAGCAAAAATGTATCGGCTCGATTTCTGCCCTATCGCAGGCCAATACTCTTGCAACACTTTCCATTATTCAGGTAAAAATTGTTGCACTTCTTCATCGAGTTGTTTGTCATTTTTTTTCGGAACACATCATTATTATCATTTTGTACAATGGATCATATGTGTGATCAACTGAGCTTGAGTGAAAGGGGTCACATCACTTTCTGCATTCTAAGTGAAAGGGCTTTCGACGGTGAAGAAAGCTGATGGGGTAAGGGAAAGAGTGGAAGGGAAGATATTAAAATTGTGCACAAGTCCTTTGCCATCCTCAGGCAACCTTTACTTCATTGTAGTTCTTTAATAACAAATATTCCTCACTTTACTAATTGCCATAGAGAACCCGACCCTGAGAAAACCTCTTTGTAAAGCCACCAACTCGTGGTGATATTGTGAAATTAAAGCAACCGCCAAAAACAGCAAAACTCCAGACAGATTACTCTTTATTTTGCACAGATCCAAGCGTTCAAACGGATGACGTCGCCTGTATAAAACTCTCATGACGTCCCTTGAAAGGAATCGCGACAGGCTTTACATCTTGCATTCTTTCAGAAGACTGGTTCAAAATCAGAATCAGGAAAAGTTGTTAGCCCCACATCGCACTGACATTCACTTAGGGTGCACTCGCCTATATCTTGCTGAAACCACTTCTAGGAAATTATTTTCTGATCAAATTATCATATCTGATCAGGTACGGTAGATAGACAAAGGATTAAAATCACCGACTTGACTATAATCTAGTTGAGGGTTTATCTGCTATAATGAATATCATATCATT